TTTTTTTAAGGTATATCATCTCTCAAGAGATCACAAACCTGATCTTGAGCTTGAGAAGGAGAGGATTTTAAAAGCTGGTGGTTTTGTCCATGCAGGACGAGTCAATGGCATGTTGAATGTTTCAAGAGCTATAGGTAGTTTTAGTGTGTGAGAACTTTTCATATATTAGCCTTTTCAATTTCAAATACATTTGTACTGATGAGAACCGATGAAAACATGTCTACTGCTATCTTGTTACCAAAGTAAAAGCGGTATGAACATGCATATAAACACGCAAAAATCTGTTGACATGTATGCATGATTGTGGAGGGGAGCGAAAGAGATTTTTCATTTTGTGGTTCCCATACTCATATCAGTTTTGCATATACTGCAGGTGACATGGAATTCAAGCAGAACAAATTTTTGCCAGCTGAAAAGCAAATTGTAACTGCTACTCCAGATATAAACAATGTATATATATCTACTTTATGGGTGGATAAAATGGTGGTTTTTGGGCTATCTACATTTTCAAGTTTCACAAAATCGTTTTGGCACCTATTTTTTGTCAAACAAAATAATATAGAAACAAGATAAAATTACATGTTAATTTTGTCTTCCATTTTAATTTTTTACTGTTTTGAAATTAGGTTGAGCTTTGTGATGATGACGAATTTATCGTCCTAGCATCTGGTGGAATCTGGTATGTCTTAAGTTGAACTTTTTGTTTCATTTTAGCTTTGATGACTTTCATGTCTTGTAAGGAAGAATTTGCCCCAGTTTTGCCTTGAAGTCTCGATTAGCTTTATTGATGGACTATAGTCACTATATTGTACTTACATCCAAAATTAAAAGATAATAGTTGATGGTAAATAATAAATATTTTATCTGTTGAAGAATTGTATTGTAAAATATATTATTGATTATTTGATTTACTTCCGAAAGTCTTATAATATATTCTAAATCTAAGTTAATGTTTTTGTTTATTTCTTTACAGGAATTGCATGTCTACCCAGCAAGTGGTAGAGTATGTACATGAACAATTGAGTTTGGCGAGTGCATTTCTCACCCTTTTCTTTTGTTTATTTTGTTCTTTTGGTTTGAAAGCAAGCCCATCAGTCTCGTAATGCAATTGAAGTTGTTTCTTATACACTTACATGTTGCTTGATTAAGGGTAAGAATGATGCCTAGTATTGTCTCATTGACACGCATCATTGTAAAGTATGCAGGAAAGCAAGTTGTCTGTGGTGTGCGAGAGAGTCCTTGATAGGTGTTTGTCGTCAACTGCTGGTGGTAAAGGGTGTAATAACATGACCCTGATAATAGTACAGTTCAAGAAGCCCGTGTTTTCGGCTGAATCTGAGGACGAGAAACCCTCACCAAAAGAGGAAGCTGTAATTGGAAGTGATTCAAAGGCAGTAGTGAATGATTGTTAGTCAGTAAAAGGAGAGGGGAGTCAAACCTCTACCCACAAGCAGAGGTCAACAAAGAGCACAACCACCTTATAAACTCTCAATAGTAACTAGAAGAGATTGTTAAAATCTCAATTTTTGGGCTGCTCTTGAATGTTTATTTGATAACTTGAATAGTATGTACTCGTTATAACAAAGTACAACCCAAGTGGTTGAAAAACAGAAGCATATTGTATATAAATATCTTTGAACGGTTTACAAGATGGAATTTCTTGGGTCTAATTTTGTTTGACTTTGTATTGGGTTTGTTTTCTCTTCCTGGTTTTGATATAGAAATTTTGTTATAATCATAGTGTTGGTTCCATTTTTCCGCAAGATTTCCTCGCTATATCATACTAGATGGTGTAATTCTATCTATTTTTTATATCGAAATCTTGTTATGATCCTAGTCCTCCTCTGTCACCCGCCACAAGAAACCAAAGATAAAGTGTCCATATATGAAGTTGTGGATGTTAAAAAAAGAGGGATTGAATCTTCAACTGCTTATGGAATATTTATTAGTCCTGATATTTAAATATGGTGGAGAAATGGATGACACACTTAAGAAAATAATCAAAAGCAATATGCTCCAACTGCTTCCTACCACCATGTTAAGTGCAACTTAAGTTAACTACCAATTACATTGACAAGCATAATCATTCTCTTAATGCTTTTCTTATTATAGTTATCTGAATATGCATGTGTGTTGTGCTATTATAATCCAAATAATCTTGGAGGCCCGAATTGTACCTTAATACCTCTTTCATCTCAATTCATGCCTCATCTCAAGCCTATCAAGCAACCGTCACTAGAACATAAACCAAACCAAAACAAAATAAAAAAACCGAAAAAGAATGGCGACAGAAACCAAAATAGAGCAAACCCAATCTCATAAATTTAATATCATTTAATGCCGCCATCTTAATTATACGGCCACGCATCAGACATGCTCATGGAGTACTTGTACAAAGTTGTCACGTGTCAATCTATTATATTTCATATTGTTTTCCTACATTTTCATTTTCACCAAAATGGTGGTACTTTAAAAAAAAAAAGTGAAAATAATGTAGAGACATACTGCAAGGATTTAATTCCTCGTTAAAATGCTTATATTGGGAGGATTATATTGTTTGTCGTTATAAGTTCGGAGTAAATTGTCAAAAATTCCTACTACACTTTCCGCGAGGAAATAACTATGTTCTCGTTAATAAATCATGAAATAATGTTGGAGACATACAACAAGGAAATTAATTCCTCGTTAAAAGGCTTCTATTGCGATGATTATAACATATTATTGTCAGAGAGGAAAATACTGCGAGGAAATTAATTCCTTGTTAAAAGAGTTATATTCCGGGGATTATATATTGTTTGTAGCTATAGGTGTGGAGGGAATTGTAAAAAATTCCCGCTACACTTTTCGCGAGAAAAACATTATTTCCTCGTTAATAAAAAAGTAAAGATATGCGGGAGACATACTGAGAGGAAATTAATGCCTCGTT